CATAACAGTTTATATTCTCAAACTAATAAAGTTATTGAAAAGCTATAGGAAAACCTAAAAGGATCAAATTGCTTACATTTTACAATTTCCAGGAAATTTTTCATTTCATTTCTTCTCTCCTCCCATAATATTTCCCCTATAATTTCAAAGTATCCAGAAAAGCCACCTTTGTATTCACTATAATAGAACACTTTTAAAGATAAAATAATGACAAATTCAGCTAAAGGATGTGGTTTTCAGTATTTGTCCTTATTTATGTCAATGCTGGCATTTTTAAAATAAGAAGTGTCATGAATTCTAAGTATTTTAATTGGTTGACTCATGAATAAATCCCTTTATATTTTTAAAATAATCTAACAATATTTGGACAAATGGATTTTATAACTTTTAAGACCAAATTCATGTTTTAACACAAGGTTTTGTAAGAAAACATTTAAGCTCTCTACATATGTAAATAGGGAGCTCTGGTAGCATAGTGCCTAAGGTACTTGACTGCTGACTGAAACCTACTAAAGTAAAAACTATTTCTCACACCCTGGTACTGGATGGGAATAGATAAACAAACTAAATTACCCCCATCTATTTCCCCACCCCAGGCAGATGAGTATTCAGTTCCTTAAAGAACTGAATGGGAGGAAAACATTCTTTCCTGCAGGTGATAGACTAAAAGTGTCTTAAAAAACAACTTGTAAATTAACTGTGGCCTGTGGAAATGTGCAATAGGTTAGAAAGGAACAAAAGTTAATGGGAACAGACCCTCTCCCCTCTGCCCAAGCCCCTAACAGCTGAAGACAGGAAGCTGGTGTGACTCATGCACCTCCAGGTGCAATCCTCACCCATTTCATGCCCCAAATTTCTCAACCTTTTGTGAATATGCATAACCCCCTCTCCTGAAACCTACAAAAACTGTATTTCGATGGCATCTCAGGGAGTCAGATCTGGGTAGGACGATATCCCTACTCCTTGCATTGCCACTTTGCAATAATTTTCCTTTCCTCTTAATCTTGGTGTGTAGACTGTTTTGGCCTGACTGTGCACTGGGCAAGGACCCGTATTTGGTCCTAGAACAGGACCAGAAGGCTGGTGGTTCAAACCCACCAGCTACTCCTCGGAATCGGAAGGAAGGGTGGGCAATCTACTTCCATAGTGATAACTGCCTTGGAAACTCAAGGAGGGGTCACTATGAGTCGGGTCCAACTTGACAGCACATAACAACAGCAACAACAACATACACAAGTAAGGTTTGGCTATTGAGAAGATAAACTACTGGCAAGTTATAGGGCCAAATTCTCTGCTCATCTATGTCATGGTTAAATCAAAAATACTTTAAGTATAAAACTGCTAGGCAATTTTACCTCGCTGAGCTATATATTTACAGCAATCTGCAAAACCACCCATGGCAGCATAATGAAGTGGTGTGTTCCCATTCATTGCAATCAGCCCCATATCTCCATTGCAGGCAAAAAGAAGCTTCAATATCTGCAAAGGAAATAGATATTGTAGAGAAATCAGAGTGAATATTTACTGGAAAAAGATCAGCATCTAGGCCTTGCTATCCATACATTAGCTGCTAGACACATGTGGCTTTTTCAAATATAAGTAATTTTATTAGAAAAATTAAAGATTCAGTTACTTAAATTCACTAGCCATACTTAGGGAGCTCTGGTAGCAAAGTGCCTAAGGCACTTGACTGCTAACTAGAAGCCTGGCAGTTCAAACCCACCAGCCACTCCTCGGAAGGTTGGGCAATCTACTTCCATAGTGATACCACCTCAGAAACCCACAGAGGGGTCACTGTGAGTCGGGTCCGACTTGAAGGCACATAACAACAACAACAACCGCCATATTTAAAGTGCTCAAAGGCCACATGTGGCTACTGGCTACCGTATTGGACAGAGTGAATAGAGAACATTTCCATCATTGATGAAAATTTTATCAAGCAGTTTTGATCTAGATATAGACAAGAGGAAACCATGGAACTCAGCCTAGGGCCTATCATTTGGGTAAACCCAGGCAATTTAAGAAAGCATTAGAATATTGCAAACCTCATCAGAGGAGCAAATCCTTTACCAGATGTGGCTTCTATTTTTATGCATAATTTTATTGCAGAGAAAAGGCTCAAAGGAAAAAAAAAATAGCTATGTTAAAACTCAAAGAAAATTGAATAAAGGGATTTTAGATGAAATTCAGAATTTTAAAAAATAGTATACCATTGATTGCTATTTCATTTCTGTAATGTCATTAAATCTAGCAGATATCTTTTGCTGATATGCCCAAATAATCAGAGTACTTAGTGTTTAAAATCAGGTCAATTAAGGGATACACACAAACACCAGGAAAATAAGAATGTGATGGCACTATTCTCATCACAATTAGGTCATATAACATTTTGAAGATTCTTCTACATGACAGAGGTATAAAGCATGGTAGTCCTGATTGGACCATTATATTTTATATTATATTATACATACCTATTATTATAATACATATATATGAAGATTGTAATATATATATTATAATATCTTATAGCCAAGTATACAGAAGAATCTTATTAATAATATTAAATGTGTAATTTAGCCAACAGATAAAACTGAATAAAGAGCTGGAATATGTTTTTTCAATGATATTTGGTATACAATATAATTGTAGAATGATTTAGGTAAATTGAGATGAACACAAAATAGGTAACTCAGAAGAAGTCCTGCCTTAGTATAACCTATGTGATATATGAGAATGTCCGGCCTTAGTATAACCTATGTGATATATGAGAATGTCCCGCCTTAGTATAACCTATGTGATATATGAGAATGTGAGGAAAAGAGAATGTTTGTAGTAACAAGTTTTAAAGCAAAGAGCAGGTTATTACATCAAAATAGCCTCCTTTGGCAGCAAAATGTGCAGCATGATGTCTTTCGTTGTCATATGCATTCACATCACCTCCTCTCTCCAGTATCCCTCGAACTAGTTCCAATACTCCTTCTCGTGATGCTTCCATTAAAGCAGTGCGACCTGTGGACTGGATATTCAACAGATCAAATGCTGTTTGTAACTATCCTATTAAATAACACTGGTGCTGCCATATTTAAAATTCTGTGTATGTATGGTCTAAACCCATTTGGCTTGAGAGACACAGAAAATGTGTTTCTTCTCAACATTTGGATAGGTTTCATACAATAAATAGGAAAAATTAAGCAAGTGTAATGGCTCAATAGCTAAAATGTACCATTCTAAACTCAGAGTCAAGGTCACACAGGACATCTTTCGCAGTGAGAAAATCATACCAATATGCCTTTCAAAGAAAGCATAGCAAAAAGGGAGGAAAGATGGAAAATATGCTAAAATTGGGTTATAGATATTTTCTAATTAGAAGGAAATCTACTTTTTGTGTAGATTTGTAGAAACTGCCTAGAAATGGCAATTAGAAGAAAAGGAAACTCAATAAAATTAGCCAAATGAGGAGTGGAGCAAAATAGATAAGGGGAAGTGCAGAACTACATAAAGAAGATACATTTTTATTGGGTATCAGTTATACCCTTTCTACTACTTCCTATAATTTAATTTTAACAATATGCATACTAAATCTTATTTTTTCAAGCATAATTAGTAAATGGACTATAGAACAAAGGCAAGAGAATGATAATGAAATAATATGTCATTTTAAAGCATTTTCAATAGAAATGAATAGTCTATATGCTAACAGGGTAATTTTACCATATTTAAATTCAAAATTATACTAATAAGATTCTATAATTGTAAAAATGAATATTTATAATCACAGGAATGGTCATACTGAGTTGATAGCATTTGGATTGGCTCCTTTTTCCAAAAATGTCATGCACATGTCTTTCACATCATGTGCTTCTTCACAAGCTCTAAGAAATACTGGCTTTCCTTCGTATGTAGCATTGTTGACATCTGCACCATGTTCGAGGGCAATCAGAGCACAACGATAGTGCCGTTTAGTAGGTAAAATGCAGTAAAATAAAACACCTGCAGAGAAAAATAGTTCCCAAAGAATATTGAATTAGTATTCTATATATATTTCTATGTTTTAGGAAGAAAAAAAAAGATAACTAAAAAATCCATAATTAGCTCACAGAGCAAAAGCCTATCTGAAACACAAAAATAATAAAAAAGAAGCTCCATCTTTGATAGTTATTGTAGGACTGGGTTTAGGGATGAATCTCAATGCTGATACATAAATCACTGTTGACCCTAGGTATTCAACATCTTGCCATCCATACCCAACTGTCCCTTCTTGGGATCTGCAGTGCCTTGTGCACTTACAAGTCCCTGGGCCCCTTGGGAAACTGGCAGAGCTGCAAAAGAGATGATACAAAATGATGAAATGTGAAGAGCAGCCATGTTTGTAAGAGGCAGGCTGTCAATATGGCAGCAGTGAGAAGAAAACTAGACGGCATGTGGCTACTTCATTTGGACAGATCATTTTGTTCACTGAAGAGACAAACATGCTAAATCCCTACATCCAGAGCCTATGACATACTGCCACACTTTAATTCATGTATAATTCATGCAAGTGGCTTGTGAGTTCTAACCACACATTTTTTGGTTAGCAGCCAAGCACGTTAACTACTATTCTACTAATCCTTGCTGTAAAGATTATAGCCAAGAAAACCCTACAGAGAAGTTCTATTCTGTAACACATGGAGTCTCCATGAGTGGAGGGCCAACTCAATAGCAGTTAACAAGAAAGTTCATTGTCAAAAACTATTGTAATCCTCTCAAGTTCCCAAGTGTAACTCTTTTCTGTATCAGGCTATTACTGAGAGGAAACAAAATTCTTTTGGAATCTTTATTCTACACCTGCACATGCTAAAATGTAAAAAGAGTAAGAAATGAAGTGACCCTATGTTCTACCTCATCTTTTGTCCCAAATTAAATTTTCTATTTCATAATGAATGATTATGACTTTGATACTATCAATGCGTATAAGGTTGAAAATTCTCCATATTTAAAATAAAACATCAAACATAGATTAAACTAATGCTGGTTTTCTTTTGAAATGAGAAAGCTCTCAAAATTTATTTCCCTAAGATACACCTATACAGTTTTCAAATTATCAGAAGATGATATCCTTAGGTACAAGAGTGAAAATCTAGCTTTTTTAAAACTTTAATCCATGTATAATTCACTTCTAAAATTGGAAAGCAAAAAAAAAAAAGTATATTGTTATTGATTCTGTCTATAAAGTGAATTACATCTGTTGAATAGAATGTTGAAATTTTTACCTTTTCCTTCATTATCAACTATAGTCATATCAGCCTTTGCCTTGGCTAATTTTTCCATTGACAATTCATGGCCCAGCTCTGCAGCTCTCATAGTCGGAGTGCAGCCCATTCGGTCTTGCACATCAGGGCGAGCACCAAGATCAAGGAGAAAGGTGACCATGTCAATGTCATTGGAAACCGAAGCTAAGTGCAGCGCACTGTGGCCATTGACAGGTTCGGTGAAATTGATTAGTTCAGGGTATCCAAGCTTGGTCAACTTCTCTATCTGCTTCTTGTCTTTGTTCCGAACACACTGAAGAACTTTGTAGATCTGCAAGTTCTCAAGTCGCCTGTCTGCTAAAGCCATAATTGACCAACTTCTTGAAAATGCTTTCTGGATGAAAACAAAAACTACAAGAGCCAAAAAAGAAAACACATAACTCAAACTTAATTTTATCATTTACGTTTTGATTCAAAGCCAATCATGTCTCTTAATATCTAAGAAAAAAGTTATTTTTTATGAAGCAATCTTGCCATAATTTATTGAGACTGACTTCCTGAAAGCAGAATTAAATATAAATACAAAAATATTCAGCTGGTATAAAGTTTTCAATATTTTAAAACAAATCTTCTATTGTAATTAAACAAATCTTGTTAGGTGGTTTACTTGTTATTTCATTTAATCTTCCCCCCTGGAAACAGCCTTCCCATTTTACTCAAGAAGAAGGTGAGACTAACTAATTTGTCAAGGTAAAGATTTTAGCACCCACATATATGGCTCCATACCAGTATGCCCCCAACAATATAAAGGCCTTACAGGTTTATGGTAGTTAAAAAAATAATGCAATGGACATGTAGAATCGTGAAGTGCTGAGTATAAGTAGAAATCTACTAGGCTAACAAAGAAGTGGGTGATTCCTGGGTCATCTTCAGTGGGAATTAGGTTGTTGTTGTTGTTAGGTGCCACCAAGTCGGCTCTGACTCATAGCGACCCCATGCACAACAGAACAAAACACTGCCTGGTCCTGTGCCAGCCTCACAATCCTTGCTATACCTTGCAGGCACTGTGTCAATCCATCTTGTTGAGGGCCTTCCTCCTTTTCATTGACCTTCCACTTTACCAAACAGGTATCCTTCTCCAACGAATGATCCCTTCTGACAGTAGGACCAAAATAGGCGAGACAAAGTCTGGCCATTCTCACTTCAAAGGAGCATTCTGGTTGCACTGTTTTCAGATTTGTTTGTTCTTCTAGCAGTCCATGGGACTTTCAGCATTCTTTGTCAACACCACAACTCAAAAGCATCAACTCTTCTTT